GAACCGGGGCCCTCTGGCGTCCCAAGCCAGTTCTTAACCATCGCGCCACTCGGCCGGCCCAGAAAGTTTATAACTTTTATTTCAACCATCAAATGAATTTTCAAAACTTATGAAGATAATCTACTTTATTTTTGCTCTCCTCATTGTTTCTTCCTTCCTAATGTTCTAACATTCCTTCTTTTATCAATTTTTTTGTTAGTTTCAAAAATATCTTTAACCATTCTTTTTATCTAGTTTATTATTTTATGTTTTAAATAATTATACAACATTATATTAGTTTCAAGTGTACAACATACTGGTTAGACATTTATATAACTTATGAAGTGATCACCCTGATAAATCTAGCACCCACATGATACCACACATAGTTATTACAGTATTATTAACTATATTCCCTATGCTATACACTTTAACCATTCTTTAAGGCTAGGTTGGCTAGCAACAAATTCTCTAGTTTTCTTTCGTTGGAGAATGTGTTGATTTTTCCTTGTAAAAGACAGTTTACCTAGATATAGGATTTCCTGTTGACAGTTCTTTTATCACTTAAAAGTTGCTGTGACACTTTCTGGCTTTCAGTGTTTCTGATGAGAAACTGCTATCATTCAAACTGATATTTCTATACATGTAGTACATCCTTTTTCAGTGGTTGCTTTCATGATGTTTTCTTTCGTCTTTAATTTTCAGAAATTTAATTTTTATCTATGTAAGTGTGAATTTGGGGGGAATTTTCCTATTCAGTATTTGTCAGTTTCTTGAAACTTTGGTTTTACTTGTACACTTTACACTAAATTTGGGAGTCACTCAGCCATCATTTTTTCAAATACTTTTTCAGTCTTCCTATCCCACTTCTCCCTTTCTGGGACTCTGATGGTACAAATGTTTGTTATTTTGTTAAGTTCCAAATGTCCCAGGGTGAGGATATATTCTTTAAAAAAAATACTATTTTCTTTCTATTGTTTGAATTGAGTAAATTCTATTGATCTACCTCCAAGTTCACTGACTCTATCTTGTGTTACTTCCATTCTAGTATTGAGCCAATTAAGTAAGTTTTTTTATTTGTTATTGTATTTTTAAGCTATATAATTTCCATTTGTTTCTTTTTAAAAATAAATTCTATGTTTTGGTGAGGTATTCTATTTCTTTTTTGCAAGAAATTGTAATCATTTGCTGAAGCATTTTTGTAATAGCTATTGAAAAGTCTTTCTCAGTTAATGCCAATCTAATTTATCTCTGTGTTGGCATGAGTCAATTGTCTATTATCATTTAAGATAACATTTTCCTGTTTCTTCATATGATGAGTAAATTTTAATTGAAACCTAGACATTTTGGCTATTATGTTATGAGACCCTAAATCTTATTTGAAGTTCAATTTTAGTAGGAAGTCACCGTGTTTAAGTTTATCACTCAGATCCCTGGTCTACTGTTGTCAGTTGAGTTTCCATGTCTGCTTTCTGTACCATGGTATCTACCGGACGTTCTGTCTGGCATGCTTCTCCCTCTTCCTGACTTGTCCACCTATGAAACTCCCATTTACCTGACACAGGAGGTACAACTGTCACCTCCATGGAGCTGTGACTTCCCCTGACAGTTAATCACCTTTTCCTTGACCTCCTTCCTTAACCATACTTTCATAGTTGCACTTTTCACAATTAATATATTTGTTAAGTTTTCTCCCTTTTAGTTTGGCGAGTTCTGAGAGTCTGGTTCCTGATGAAAATCCTACTTATTTTTAAGACCTGACCATAGGCAATTACACAGTCTTTATTTGACAAGCCTCAAAAGAAAAACCTGCCCATCCCACACTAGACTTGCTGCACAGCCAATGCCTTCAGTACCTTGAGGAGGTGTAGTCAAGGACTCCCATGCCCCTGCCAGTTCATGCTCTTACACATATTTGCATTCTTAGCCCAGGTGCCTTCATTCCTAGGTCTCTCTGTCTGAGGCCTGGGGCAGAGTCTTCTTCAGGTGCCACTGTCAAGGCCTCCTTATCAGGAAGAGGAAGGAAAAACTTGCAGACATTTTTCCCCACTCAGAATCAGTACCCTGTAACTTTCCACAATTAGCCCTTCCCCTCACCTTCCTTCCATCCTCGAGTCCATGAAACTGTTGAAGCCTTTTGTGCAGAGCACTCTCAATAGTTGTATAACCTCACCTTTGCACTGATACACTTGACCTTAGACCAACATTTAATAGGGGAAAAAGAAGAGTTAAAAGTCATCATGTGAATATACTAGGACAGTAAATGATGAAAGGCTTCATTGCTATTTGATTTGGGCTCGTTATTGCTTTAATTAACTGATATCAGCTGACAGTTTGTGTCTCTTTTCCCCAGCTGAGCTCTGAAAAGTTCTTCTTTAGAAGGAGCTCTGTCTTATTCACATCATATGTAGCGTTTAGGAATATGCAGGTATATAGCAGTTGTTAAATGCATGTTAGCTAAACAAAAACCATTGGAAGGGCTTACAGCAGTGTTATAAATGTGTATGTGTATGTGAGAGAAAATGAGGGAGGGAGGGAGTGTGGGATGTGTTATTTCTATGAGCTTTATGAATCTGGCTCAGAAAGTCTGTGGCCTTGGAATATGATCTTTGATTTTATCACTTTTCTGTCTTCTCCTCAGCGTTGGGCTCAGTTCCTCTGGTTTCTATCATGGGATATGTGGATGGAGGCATCCAGCTACTCTGCACATCCTCAGGCTGGTTTCACCAGCCCACAGTGAAGTGGAAAGACCCACAAGGACATGATTTGCCCTCAGACTCAAAGGTGAATGCAGACAGACGTGGTCTATTTGATGCGGAGACTTCCCTTATAGTCCAAGAAAATGCTGGGAGCATATCATGTTCAATCCAGTACTCTGACCAGACCCCAGAGGTGGAATCGAGGATATGGATAAGAGGTGAGTGGGGAGGAGGAGTAGTAGGAGAAGGGTGCATGTTGGTGTAGCCCAGAGGAGAAACAGAAGCCTTTATCTCAGGATTGTTGTGTAGTCTTGTCCAGTTTTAATGATTAGTTTTGAAAGTCAAAGTTCTATGAGATATAAAGATAATAGAATAAAATTTGATTAGATGGGAACAATTGTTTACAACTGCAGAGGCGAAGAATCAAATATTTTCTTCATCATGTGACCATCTTCATGATGCAACCTTGAAAATCAACACACACAAAATTTAAGAACGCTAAATTGAGAAACAAGAGGGGAAAAAAAAGTTTGTTCATTAAAAAAAAACTTCTAAATAAATACTATAACATTACTCTGTGAAACAGAATATAATAATAAGTGGATAATTTCAGAAGGATTTAAAAATAATAAATAATTAATGTAAACCCAAATAATAAGATAATTAATATAAACCCAAACACTTTTCCAATCAATGTAAAAGGAGTGAATTTGCCAGTTAAAAGACAAAGAATGTCAGACTGGAATTTTAAAAATCTCAACTACTGCAATTTTTAGAGAAAATTGTAATACAATGAGCTATTCACTGAAGCATTTTAAAAATAGAAAAAGCATAACAGACAAATGTTAACCAAAAAAATACCATTATAGATATATTAGAGTCAAGAAAAAACTCTTGGGCCAGCCAAGTGGCTCACTTGGTTAAAAGCACAAGCTCTGAGCAACAGGGTTGCTGGTTCGATTCCCATATGGGCCAGTGAGCTGCGCTTGAGCTGAGCTGCCAACAGGTGGCAGGATGGTTCAGCTGGTGACAGTACATACTTCTAAAAACAAGGTTGTCTGTTCTACTCCCACATGGGATGGTGGGCTACTTTAACCTGCAACTAAGATTGAACATGGCACCTTGATTTGAGCTGCCCTGAGCTGCTGATGCATAGCCAGATGGCTAAGTGGTTAGAGTATGTGCTCTTAGCAACAAGGTTTCCAGTTCGACTCCCGCATGGGATAATGGTCTATACCCACCCACAATTAAGATTGAACATGGCACCTTGAGTTGAGTAGCCTCTAGCTGCTGATGGGTGGCCGGATGGCGACTGGACTTGGAGCTGAGCTAGCTGCGCCCTCCACAACTAAGACTGAAGGACAACAAATTGTCTGTTCTCCTTCTCCAAATCCCCAACACTGTTCTCCTCCCCCAACTCCCCAATAAAATCTTAAAAAAAACGAAAACAGTATTAAGAAAAAAAAAGCATTATTAAGATAGTTATTTCAGAACATAAAAAGTTTATCACTAGAAAACTATAAGAAATATAAATATATATGCACCTTATAGTATATCTCAACACATATAAAGCAAATATGAATAGAAATATCGGGGCAAAGTGAAATACTGTGAGTTCTAAAACTGATTAAATAAGTAGACAAAATAGTAAGATTGTAGAACATTTGATATGCAAGTTAACAGTCCTGATCTAATAAACATCCTTAGAAGAATTCACCCACAAAAATCGTTATTTTGAAGCACACACTTTCACCAGGTACATTCACATAAACTTGGAATTGACTTGTCTAGTTCTAAGAAAACTATTAAGATGTTCAGTAGTTATACTGAATATATAGATCAATTCTGGAATAAATGGTATCTTTAAAATATTGCCTCTTGTTACCTGTAAGAAGTTACATCACTCTGCTTATTTTAATTGTTCTTAGTGTCTTTTAATGAAGTTTTATATATCTAATAAAATGTTTTCAAACTCTTATGAAGATGCATATAATACAAGTGACATTGCATGTAATAGCATGTGAAGGAAAATCCATTTAAATAAATGATGCCAGCACAGTTGTTATCTGTTTAGAAGAAAATGAAATTGAACTTCTACCTCATTTTATATGCAAACATGAAGTCCAGTTGGAGCGAGAATTATGAAGAAGCACACTTTAAACATGCAGGAGAAATGATAGAAAAATATCTTTTCAATCTTGGGGTATGAGATGATCCCTTAAATGAGAATCAAACTGCTTTTACTGTTCAGTGGTCGCTGAGGGGTCTGTGGAACTGTTTTTCAGAGGCGATTTTCCAGTCCATACCCTGGCGCATGCGATTTATTTTACTGGGAGCATTCCTCTCTGTCCTGTGTGTTGGTAGTATTGGTCTGACAATTTACTTCTACGAATTGAAGGGTAAGTGAGGGAGGGAAGCAGGGGCCCATGGCTTATTCATGCATCTAGCAGGGCTGGGATCAGGGGTGCTCCACACACCTCCTGGGTCTGTTATTCCAGACCAGCTCAGGGCCCCATCATCTGGGCCATAGAGACCACAGTCTGCGCCCCACTCCAGAATGGCCGGAAAGGGCTCCCTTAGGAAATGCCAGCCCCACCAAGCCCATCTTCCTCACAGAGGGCACAGAATTAGAGAAGAATTATTTTCACTACCTGTAGGGATGATATACATTTCTAACACCACATGACTCTAGTAAAAAGGTTCAATGTACTTGAAAAGACTTCATAGCACAAGAAATAGAAGTGAAGACAAGATAAAATAATATTCAGTTTCAATAAGAGATTTTCCCCCCAAGTACTACTTTTTCCTCCTTAGAGATGACACTGCCCCTTGAGAATGTGTGCCATGATCCCACCTTCACTCTAGCTTCTCTTGCACCCCACCTTCCCTTCTCTCTGATAACCTCCATCTCCACCTCCAGAGGATGCCAGAGGTCAGCCCCTGCCTTCAGCATGAGCAATCTTGATCTCTTCCTTTACCCAAGATACAGACGTTCACTACACGGGTGTGGGGATGGGGGCACAAAAGGAGAATTCTAGAAGAGCCCCCATCATTCACCACAGCTCGTCCTTCTGAGCAATGAGCCAGGTCTGTCCACATTCCTCTGTCCACCACTGAATATTCTATTTCTGTTTCAGGGAAAGTCCAGGCAGAATTGGGTGAGTGTCTTGTCGTGTTCTGAGCCTTCCCCAGAGTTCTCCTGGGTCCCTCCTGTTCCACAGTTAGAGCCACCTGGGGGCTGTCTTGGCTCCAGACTGGACGTGAAGCATGGTCAGGCCAATGAGGGCAGCTGGTTCATCTCCCCATCCATTGACTAGAGAAGTAATCCTCAGACAGGCGGGGGGTTAGGGTGGGCATTGGGATCCTGAAAATCCCTAAAATTGACTGCACATTTTGCCTATTGGTACATTATGCGGGGAGAGGAACTGCAGGTTTCATGAGCTCTCTGAGGGTGTGGACCCAGAAGGGGAAGAGCCTGTGGGGTGTCTCCCTTAACCTCCTGCTTGGCTTGATACTTGGAGACAAGCTTTTGAGGCTTGTATCAGCACAGAATATTCTGCCATTTGTGTCATGAAAACACGAGAACTGGGTAAGAGTGTTGTAGGGCTTTCCTCTCACACTCTGCCCTGGGCACCGTTTCTGTGATTTCACCCTCTTCTGTGTTTCTGGTTTACAGACTGGAGAAGGAAGAATGCAGTGGAAGGTGAGAGAAGCTAGTCCCTCCACTTCCATTATCTCTCCTTTCAAGTCCCTAGTTTATGAATCTTGAGACCCTGAGGTCATGGGTCTCTGCAGAAACAAGGTTGTGAAGGGGACCCTGAAACAGTCTGCAGATGCTGGGGGAGGTGTGTTTGTAGAGAGCCCCATGGCCTCCAGCAAATATCTGGTGGACCCGTGACACCAACAAAGATTAACTCCCTTGGTCTCCTGTCTCACTACCTACTGCTCTCCATGTGATCACTGACTCTCCTGCTCTGTCTGCTTGTTTTCAGAACTGAGAGAGGCCCGGAAACATGCAGGTACCAATGCCTGAGGGGTGACAGTGGGACAGAGCCGCGGGTGGGCATGGGAGAGGGAGCCGACCAGAGACAGACAAGGGGAAACAGGAACACTGAGACACACTGGACTCTAAATCTATGAGGCCTGGATTCAACAGGGGCAACTGCCCTAGACGCATTTCTTGGCCCAGGAATAGGAGGGCAGAGGGCAACGAGCTGGGTAAGGCAGGATGGGAGTCAGAGGCTAAGCTCCAGGGAACTGGTGGCACAAGTGACTGGCCAAGGGGATGGACTGACGGGAAGGAGGGGAAGTTGGGCAGGACTCAGAGTGGGAGCAAGCTGGTTACAAGGGACAATCAAGGTCTCACAAAGTGAAGCAGTGGACTGATATGGAGGTACAGTGGTAGGGCTGACGTGATATACAGGAGCTAGGACCTCACAGTTGGGCATCTCCAGGCATTGCCGAGGCCCCAAGGCCCCACTGGAGATGAGGGAGGGGCAGGGGACAGTGTCTGACAGAGCCTCTGGCTCTAGGACCTGAACTGATCCCACCCTGAGACAGTCTGCAGGGGAGGGGGTGGCCTCTGCATCCAGCCCAGGTACCTCCTCAAGTAACTCATGCTCTCTCTCCCTCACCACGCCCCAGTGGAGGTGACCCTGGACCCAGAGACAGCTCACCCCCAGCTCCACATTTCTGATCTGAAAGCTGTGCGCTATAGGAACATTGGCCAGGACGTGACCTACTCGGACAAGAGATTTGCAAGGAAGTGTGTGGTGGCTTCTCAGGGATTCCAGGCAGGAAAACATTACTGGGAGGTAGAAGTGGGACACAATGAACTGTGGTGTGTGGGAGTATGCCAGGACAATGTGGACAGGAAGGTAACATATGCAACTTTGTCTCCCAACAATGGATACTGGGTGTTCGGACTGAAGAGAGAAGAACAGTATCTCATATTCAAAACCTGTAGAATCACCCTCTCTCTGAGTACACCCCCCACACGAGTTGGGGTCTTCCTAGACTACGAGGGGGGGACCATCTCCTTCTTCAATGTAAATGATCAGTCCCACATTGACACCCTGACATATCAGTTTAAAGGGTTATTGAGGCCCTACATCCAACATTATGTGAGTGATGAGAGAAATGTGACTCCCATAGTGATCTGCCCTGTGTCTCAGGGATAAGAGAAAGAAGCACCTTCTGACAAAGGCAACGTGGAGCCCACCCCACAGGTGAACACACCCTTCCTGTCCAGCATGGTGCCCAGAGGGAATCACACCTCACACTCTCCCTCAGGACACTGAGCTTTGTCTCAGGCGCCAGAGCCCTGCAACAAACAGCAGCATGGCTTCCAGATGACGTGGGCTGGCCCATCCATGTGGGGTCAGGGGTCATGGCTGCACTGAGGCAGGGATAGAAGAAGGCTGATGGTGCATTTGGTTTGCACCAACTCTGCAGCCATAGGACCTTTGACAAGTAATAAGCTCTCGGGCTCCTCACCTGTAAAACAGGGACAGATATTCCCACCTCAGGGTCAACTGAAGACCAGAGATAGTGAATGTAAATCATGCTGTCTCTTGTTAGTGGCCTGGTGTCAGCAGACCATGTATTCTTTATAGTAATCAATCCCAGCTCGAACTGTTTATATATCCCATGTTAGTTCATTTCTCCACCCCCCAAATTACCCATGGAGTATTCATTGAGTTCCTGCTGTGTCTGGCCCAAAGAATTAAAGAGGAGGAAATGCCATACAGTTTATTCTATAAGCCCAGAATCACCCTGATTCCAAAACCTGACAAGAACATTACAAGTTAGGAAAACAAAACCCAAAATCTACACACCCACATCTCTCATAAACAAAGATGTAAAATTTCTAAATAAAGTTTTAGCAAATTAAATCTAACAGTATATTCAAGAACAGTACATCACTACCATGTGCAGTTTATCCCTGGATTGCATGGTTGGGTTAATAACCAAACACCCACCAGAATAATTCACCACATTAGCAAACTAGATGATACACACAACACTTTGGATAGATTTTAAGGACATTCTAGTAAGTGAAAAAAGTCAATCCCAAAAGGTTTTATACTGTATGATTCCATTTTGTAGTATTCTCAAAATGACAAAAGTATAGAGATGAAGAACAGAGTAGCCAAAAAATAGTCACCAGGGGTCCGGGAAGGGAAGGGAGGGGTGATTCTAAAGGAACAGCTTGAGAGAATTCTTTTATGGTGATGGAACAGTATCTTGATTGAGGTGATAGTGTATGAATCTATACATCTAATACTACACACACAGTCACACTGTGAAAATGGTGAAATATGAATTAGGCTTATAGGGTAGTAAATAACATACCAATGTCAGTTTCCCAGTTTTGATGTTGTACCATAGTTATTTAAGATGTCACCATTGGATGAGCTAGGTGAGGGGTACACAGGACTATGTACTATTTTTGCAACTTCTTGTGAGTATACAATTATTTCAAAGTAAAAAGTTTCATGAGGAGAAGTGATTGAGTTGGCTGCAGTGGATTATGTATGGCAATTGAAATAAAGAAATGTTAAAAAGAATTTCAAAGATAATTCAGTGTTGCCCACATCAGGTAATGAAACAGAAGACTAAAAAAATCTGTGTAGCACTGAATATCAGAACAATTATCTTTAACTCATCTAAACTGCAGAGAACCAGGCACTGCATTATCCCAAGTAAATGAGGATTAAATGCATGAACAAGAAACGGTATGAATAAGTAAAAAAGTTCACTTTAATGTAATGTGGAATGGTTGAATTAGAAGCAATGAGCGCTTCTAATTCTCTGACCGCCCCTAAATTCCAACCACCTTGTGTTTTCATAATAAATATGATCAAAACAAACCAAAGCTGCCATAGACAGCACTGGAGGCCCCAGTGGCTGTTATGGGCCCAGGATGGCATCAGGGTCCAACTGCAGACCTGGGCTACTAGAGGCTCTGGGGACCCTGTCTCCTAGGGCAGCCTTCTGAGCTTCCCCACCTTAGGACAGCGGTGGAGAGCAGTGCTGAAGGGCCTGAGTCAGGACTTAGGCCCACCCAGTGTCCCCGGGGAGGGAGGCGTATCTCCTGAGGAGCCTAAAGGAGAGGAAGCACAGTGGGTTGGGATGATGGACTGAGTCTGGGGAAGAGGGTCTTGAGGCACTTGGTGAGTGGCCTAGGTGATGTCTTGTTCCCTTTTGTGTTCCTAAGGGAGTAAGGAATACAGAAATACAAGCCCAAGAACTAGCAGAAGACAGTCATGAGGGATGGGGGGGCAGTGCTGCGTGGAGGGGCTGTTGCCTAGAAACAAAATGGTCAGCACAGGGGACACTGAATAAGGAGATGGCAGAAACTTAGTTCCTAGGAGAAGCGCATCGGGCAACCAGGGAGGGGCCTGGCTACACATCTGTACTTATGCACTCA